GCCAGGCAGGGGGGCAATCCCCACTGCTCCGCACTGCGTGGGGGGCTCTGCCACGAGTCCCCTGACCCCCACCAACTCTCTCAGCCCCACCCCATGGCTGCACCACCTGGCCCCAGCTCCCAGCTCTTTAAAAACAAAAAAATCCCACCAGACTCATGGGCTGATGCAGTGGCCTCAGGGCTTCTGGGGGCTTGTGATAGAGCTGCCATCTCTTCCCACCCCACCAGTAGTGCAGGGCAGTGGGGGGGCAGCAGGGATCACCCCTCCCCCCGCTCCAGGCAGCAGCTGGTGAGTAGGGGCTTTATTTTTCTAATGGGCCAGCAGCAGTGGTGGGGGTGGGGGGAGGTGGTACTGGGAGAGCGGGCGGGGGTTGGAGGGCTTGTGGAAAAGCCACCCACACAGTGCAAGGCAGTGGGGGGCAGCAGGGATCGCCCCCCCCACCCAACAGCAGCTGCTGAGTGGGGGCTTTATAAAGAACCGTGAGCTGGGGCAGGCAGGGCAGCCATTGAGAGCAGGTGGGAGATGGGGCTGATTTGGGTGGGGCCGATTCAGATCACTGAATCAAATCACTGTCCCTCCAAATTGGCCGAATCTGAAGCAAATACTAGCCACTTCGCACGGGCCTAGTTCCCAACATTTTTTTACTGCGGTCTGGTAGGAGCAGGACACGGTGTGCAGAGCTGGCTGCCTCCCTCTTGGAGCTCCCCCACTGCCTGGTTTTAACCCCAGAAGTTCAGCTGTGACCCCAGAAGCCACTCGCTTGGGCGGACAGATGGTGGGGTTTCAACGGAAGGTTCATGCCATGACCAGCAGCCAACCCGCCATGGCCCGGTGGTTGGGAATGTCTGGGATAGGGCACCAAGGGTACTTCAGTTCAGAGGCTGCCTGCTGGCTAGCCCTGTGCTGAAGCACCCTTGTGTCCCAGCCAGCCCCTCTGCAGCACACTGTGCCCAATTGAAGAAGCTCTGGGCTTTCAGGCTGGCCTTCCATGCCCCTGGCAGCTGGGGCTGCTGTGATCCAGCTTTGTGCTGCAGTCTAGGCATACGTGTAAACCATGTGTCCAGGAGCAATAAGCCCCCTAATGGCACGTGTAGACATGCCCTTTAACTGGTAGCTTGGCTTTTATCTTGTGGAGCACTGGACTTCAAACACATTTCCCCCACTGCTACCACAGTGTGCAGGTAGTGTGCTGTCCAGTTTCCATTTAATGAGATGATTTGGGTTCAAAACATCATATTTTTATTTAATGAACTGTCCTGCATTTTTGCTTTTGGGATTTGGTTTAAGGCAGGGCTGTCCAACTGGTAGCCTGTAAGCTGTGTGCAATCCCTGAGGGGTTAAATTGAGGCCTCTGTGCTCCTGCCCTGCTGCCGTAACTGTGGCTGCAACAGCCACCAGAGTCTCTGGGCTCCCCCTTCCGCCTCTTGCTTCTGCATCCTGTACTTGCTCCAGGGGGCTGGACAGTCTCTTTTCGTGCAGCTCAGGGAACTGGGAGGTGAGCCCAGAGCTGCGTGAGTGCACAGTGCAGCTGTGGAAGGCAGGGTGCCCAGGTTGGTGTGCAGCTGTGGTGAGGCAAGTGTGCAGGTGTAGTTCAGTGATCAAAAGGGGAGGTTGTCTGCATAGCCCAAGGAGTTTATGACTTGCCCTGGTGCATCCTTGGGGTGTCCAGCCCTTGCTAGTGTGGTTCACTTGGCATGCAGCCCCTTAGATGTTGGACAGCCCTGGTGTAAAGGACTCAGTGCATGCATTAATTGTAATCCAGAAACCAGAAGTAGTTTTGAATGAGGAGCATGATTCATCTATTACAGTTTTCAAATGCCTTCATTCCTAAAATTTCAAAGTTTGTTACAAACATAAAGCCTTATAATCAACACATGGCATGAAAGATTATTTGTCGGGAAACAAACTAAGCTATGGAACTGAAAGATTAGCTAAAAGCCAAGAAGTCACAGATCGCTGGACCCAGGAATATAGCATGCTCCAATTTAGCTATTGTTCCCTCCCAGATTGTGCCCTTAATGTGGCAGCAGTTTAGATATTCAGCATTGCTACATGTCTTAACACTTTTTCACATTGCCTTTCAGTGCTGAAGGAAGCCATGTTTCAGGACAAAGCAATGGGAGAGATCCGCAAGCCCTTGCCAAGGCTGTACAGATTCACCAAGACACCTTACGCACCATGTACTTCGCTTAGATCAATAAAATCAGAGCATACTCACTGAAAAGAAGAACTGAAAATTTAAGCCACATACAATGTATGTTTCCAGTGGGGTCAGTTTCTGGGGTGCGCCTCCTATCAGGCTGAAGTCGACACTGTGCAAGGGCGAGGGGCTAATCCTTAAATTGACGCAAGGAAGATTTGTTTACGTCATCGAGGAACACAGCACTATTATGCAATATGAAACCAGCCAACTGCTTTTTTGGCGTGGTCTCCTGTTGGAAGCACCGCCATCACATTTTATTTTATTTTATTTTATTTTTTATTTCTCGTAGTTTAACCCTTTTATGCCTTTACCTCAAGTTGCTCGGCAGCACAACTCTTTGCAAAAAACAAAAAAAACAAAAAAACAACAGCAACAACAAAAGTTGATCACGTAATTAAGAAAAAAAAAAAAGAAACAGACAACTTTAGGAGAATCACAGTGATTGTTTTGGGATTGGGGAGGGGAGTGTGCAAAAAAAAAAAAAAGATTTGTTTTTATCTTTTACCCCAGCTATATTCATGAAGCTTTCATTATTGCCATCAACATTCAAATGTGAACATATCCAAGTACATTTGAATGTACAGCACTAACTAGAAGAAATTGGAGGAGTATTTGCACACTTGTCCATTAATCCGAACATAATTTAGCCAACTGCTGCCTTTTGTCTGTCTTCACAACTTGGAGTCCTCAGCTCCAATAGTTCCCTTTTAAAATGAAACAAAACCAATAAAAAGCTAGTAGTATATGTGCAGGCAGTAGTGATCCAAACTCTTCTTACTCCCTGGTGAATTTACTAAAGCTGCTGTTTTATCTTGTCCAGAAGTTTCAACTAATTTTCCATCTGGCAAGTCGCATACATATTTGAGCTTCATGTGATATCTGAAGTCCCGTGTTTGACGGGGTTCCTTGTAGTAAACACCAGAACTGAAACTCTAGATAAGGTCTTTTTGGGGGAGGGGGGGAAAAAAAATTGCTAGTTTACTTGCTGCCTCTCACACCTTAATGTGATTTCATATATGTATGTGTTTTTGAAGTTTAGCTTCCTTTTGTTTCTTTTATATTTATTAGAGTAATAATAATGCTTTAATTTAATTATTACAAAACATATGGGCAACATCAATTTTTATTTTTAGAAATGTAACCGTGTTTGTTTAAAAAAAACAAAAACTGACAACTTGTTTTTGCTATCTTTTAGTGCAATAAGCCGTTTGAAAGGAAAACTGTGTCCGTTTAGCTGTATTAAAGCGGCATTTGTACCACTAACTGTGGGAGAATGGACACCTCCACAATTTTAAAAGGACAAAGTAAATGCCTTAATTTTGAAAGGAAAGTTTTTATAGTTGAGGGGAATCTTTTTTTTTTCCTTTTTTAAATCAAAACAACAAAGAATAGCAAACATGCTTTTTGAATCCTGCAAGCTTTACTCTTGGCAATTGGGCTGTATTTTGGTTTAACAAAGGAACTGTCTGCATCTTTGGTTTGAAGAGATGAAGTTATATGAATTAAGTGGACTGTTTTTTATTGGAGATCTAGGTTTTCATGCTCTCACTTTAAATATATCAGACATTTAATCAGGAAAATGTCTTAAGGAGTTAATGAAGTTTTTAGCCAATTTTGCTGATTTCATAGTGACTTTCCTTTTAAAATTAAGGTATTGGTGACTTCATTTCACTTTACAAATAAAACAAGAGGGCTGGGATACTTTTAACAAGTTAAATCACTGAAATGTGAAGCAAATTTAATGGGACTTTTGTTCATTCCACTTTTTAAAGTTAAAATGAAATATTTAAGATGTCAGAGGTGAGCATTTATTCAATAAGGGGATCAGGGGAGTTTTGCACTTTGTAAACTCGTGAACTGCATTTTTGACTGTTTTATTTGCACTGGTTCATAGTATATATACATATATATATACTGCAGATTTGTTTATATGGGCATTGCTGTTATCCCAGCCCTTTGGAACTCTACCTGCTCTCCACATGAAAACCAGTGGGTTGGTATAAGTTACCTGACTTATCTCCTGTCATTCTCGTGTAATCTGTTTGCCAATTTACTGTATTTTGAGCTTAAAATCTGAGCCCATTTTGCTTCAGTAAGCATGAATTTTCCCCATTTTCTGCCAGAAAAAAGTACTGTATTTTGTGCATTTTGTATTTTGTACTAAGATGTATGTAGTGCTGTTCACAACACTGTCTCAAAGCGTTTTACTAAATACTTGGTGTATATACATATATTTTTTTTCCCAATACCAAGAAAGATAATGCAAAGTTTCTTCTGTTTTGTTTCTTTGCAGAATTTTAAAAGTGCACTGGAAATAGTCATGACTGTGGGCAGTGTATGAATGGCTCAGGGGGCTGAGGAGAAAAGAGAAGGAGGGTTATGTCACAGATCCCTAAGTAGCCCAGGAGCTCTTGGAAAGACTGGGGAGTTGTGTGCACATCAGTGGGACTGCAGATCGCAAAATGAAATGTCCTGGCTTTGTTCTTTTGCTGTTTCTTGCACTTAGGTTTCAGCTCCTTTTGAATAAATCTGCTGCAGGGAGATCAGCATAACTGAATAACTAGACTTCCAAATAAACCCTTCAGTAGTTCTCTTCTTGGACTTGCTGAACAGTTTCCTCTTGAGAGTGCTCTAGCTAGTAGTCCTGTCTGTAAAGGCCAAGGTTAGGTTTTTTATGGAGGTTGGACCCGATGATCTTACGAGGTCCCTTGCAGCCCTATGAAATCTAGTCTATGAAATTAAAATTGAGGATTTTCTTTTTTAAAAAACTTCTTGTGGATTCCTGGCTTTTGTCATGAGAAGTCCTTTAAAGAAAGAAAGAGTAGATTTTTAACTTTCCCTTCAGATACACTGTCCGTTTCCTATCCTGCCCACACTCAGTGACTATGGCTTGAAAGTTTTAAATTATTTTGCTTGCTGCTTTCACCAAAAAGAAACAAAAAAAATTTTAGAAAACCCACCGCATTAATTGGGCAAGTGACTTTAAGCTGCTCACTCAGTGGACAAGTGGAACTGGTTTTCATGTGAAGAGGAGCTGGAAGTTTTAATTTCTATTCTTGGTTTTGCAGATGTCTACATAAAGTGCCGATACATGTTTGTATTACAATATCAAGTTACTGGCTTTGTGAGGGCCACACACGTATGATACTGTAGCTGCTATATTTATTTAAACGGAGGCGGACAATTACTGCACTAGGGAAATGAGGAGATGAGCAGGAATCAAGGCTTAGTTAGATGTGGTATCACATTTTTCAGAAGAGAATTAATGGTGTGAAGTATAAAGTGTAACAAAAGGGTGCTGTCATTTTAACTGAGATTAAATAGCCAGATATTCTTCCTTTGTTTAAAGACATATATATTTTGATGTTTGCAGTTGGGGGCGGGGGGTGGGGAGGGAGCAAATGGTACCTCATCTGTGGTGGCAGTTTCCAGTGTATTTTCAGAGTATATGGATTTCTTTTATTTTTGTACCTGCTCTCCTTTAAAGAAAAGTTTCTCAAGTTTTATGTGCTTTTGGGGAAACCTTGAGTGACATACCTGATCCCCCTCATCTTCACAGGAACTGTCCATATCAAGCCCAGCAAGGGACATGGGCAAAGGCTGACGGTTCTGTTTTTGCAGATGAGTTGGCCTCATATTCATATATCTCTCTAAAACGATGGTTCCCAGCCTTCTGTGGCAGTGTACCAGTTTTCCAAACTAAGACCTCATTTGTACTAGCAAGTGCCACTAACCTCTCAAGCAATGAGAGCACCGGCTGGGGGCTCAGTAGAGAGTAAGGGGTGCAGCAGCCTCTGGTACTGACTACACATCCCCGAAGTAATAATACTGGTACATGTGCCAAAGGTTAGGAACCACTTTCCCAGAATTGGAGGCAGCGCTTCTAATAAGCTAACTATAGGTCTTTGCCAGATTTGTGATCTAGCGACTAGTGGATCCAAATTTGGGAAGAAGCATTGAGAATCTTTTGTAGTTGTGGTGTTACACTCTTGCAACATCTGCTAACAGAGTGACTGATGACTCCGTTTAAAGTAGCTTTGGATTCGTGGGGCACTTAGCGTGGCCAATTTTACTCAGGATTGTTAGATTGCTGTTTAACTGTTTAAACTGGTTAAAAGTGCCCAAAGGGGTATTTCTTTTGGGCTTAGCTTTTACAGGTAGAATGGATTCTGGAAGGTTGTCAGTCAAATTATTTCAAGATGCCATTGGTCCTAAATTGTTTTCATTTCTCTTATGTGCAAATACTTGTCCTGTGAAGTCTAGCATAGGACATTATGTAGTAACCACCTCTGTATACATCTTATTGGTTTTCTACTAGTGCTTGAGTTCACAGCAGTGAAGCTTCCAAGCTCAGACTCCTTCGATTTAAAAATGAGGCCTTTCTGAGTTTACATATGTACTCGTACCTTGAGACTTGTCCACCTTTGATATTTTTTAATCTTGTGAACTGAGGGGAATAGATTCTTTCTCAAAGCACTTTTTGTACCAGAGGAATCAAAAGCTCAGATTATATACATGAAAACAATAAATGTACAGATATCAGAGATCTTTTTTTTTTTTTTTTTCCAAATGGTTACCTTTGTTTTTTTTCAT